TTTTTGGTCTTGTTTCCATTGGCGGAACTCTGTGATTGTGATGAGCTAAAACCTGGGCGTAGGTTGGCCGTGCAAGACATCGTCTGTCTGCCAATAATTAAGGCTGGGCAATGAGTCGCTTTAGCAAAATCCGGATACTATGTTAGTGCACCTCTTTGGCAAATAATATGAAATGAACCGCTTAGGCAAATGGTTTAGAACCACTTCGACAAACGGGTTAGCATCACTTCAACAAATGGGTGCACCCACTTCGGCAAGCAGGTCAGGAAAGAGAGGGAAGAGTCTGAATTCGGATAATTTTTCATCGAGAATTATCCGGTTATCCTTGCAGATTATCCGGATATTGCCGACCTCTATCAAACAATGATCCCGTTTGTTGGAGTCTCAACGTCAGACCAACTTGAAAACAAAAACAAGACAGTTGGAATCAGGAGCGGGCGTGATCTGACACAGGCTATTTCTGTTTCATGATCAGACATTTGTTTTCGAGACTCGCCGGTAATTTTAAGCCTGTTATGTCGAGTTTATGAGTCGTCGGCCTGTAATCAAGTCCTGGGGAAAAACCGCAGTGAAATCAGGCGCTCGATCGATCGTCAATTTTTTGGCGTATATTAAGCAGTTCTTGGACTCTAGCGTTGACCAGACGACAAGGACATGTGGTTACTTGAGGGAGGCATTGCGCTGCCAAGAGCGAAATGCTCGCAGCTAAAGGGATTTGAAAACAACAACAACAACTACATGCAGTTATTGGTTTCATCTTAAAAGCTGTTTATTTACCTTGGTTTTGATGGGGAAAAAAATACCTGTCTAGAGTAGAAGTCGAGATATTGGTGAATGAAGAAGATGTCGGTCGCCTTGGTTTAGAGTTGGAATTATCAGAGATGAGGCTGGCAAAGTTTGGTGAATCCCATTGCTTGAGAGACCTTGGAAACTGAAAATTAACAGTTCAGTTTCGATGCCCTAAATCAACGTTTTTCAGTAAAAATCAACACAGAAATCAAGAAGGAATCTTTAACGTGCGCAACTTGCACACGGGACCTCCGAGATTTTTCGCCCATATTCGAGAAGACTTTGTGTTAAATCTTACCTACCATAAGATCACGGGTGTTGCTGAAGGAGCCAAGAAGTGGCAGTAGAAAGGCCGCAGAAAGAGTCAGGTGTCCAGAGGAGGGGGCAAAGGGTAAAGAGAGGGAGGCAGAAAGGGGAGTCGAAAGCAGACGACAGAACATGGTTAGAGTGCACGAAGGAGACACATTTAGAGAAGATAATTTTCCGTCGCTGTCAGGTTTCGAACCTGGGACCTATTGAATGAGAGGCGAACACCGTAACCTCTAGACGACAACGAGAGCCCCCTAATGTGCTTTTAAATGTAAAGCATTAATGGTGTGGAACAAAAGAAAAAAACAAAACAAAAAAAACACCTGCTTCTTCGATTTCATTATAATTTTGATGAGTGCCTAATTTCCCCACGATGCCTAACTAAATTCTTTCAGATCAGTGCGGGTTGGTGAGGAAAAGGGGAACAGCTTCCATTCTGTAGTTCTTGCCATGCTTTGGGAAGGAGACCTAAAGGTGTACCTGGATACCTGGAGGTGTCATCTCTGACTCCGAAGTTGACGTGTAATGACGAGAGAAAGAGAGAGAGAGAGAGAGAGAGAGAGAGAGAGAGAGTGTGTGTGTGTGTGTGTGTGTGTGTGTGTGTGTGTGTGTG